TCCCGGGTGCCTCCTGGGACCCTGGGAGCCTCCAGATGCTCTCTTGAGAGCCTCATGGGGTGCTCTGGCTCCTCTTGAGGCACCTTGGGGGCCTCTTGGGCGTCTCCTGGGAGTCTCCGGGGTGTCGCAGGGGCCTGCTTGGGTCCTCGGGGGTGCTTCTGGAAACCCTTTCCGGCCGCTCGAGGCGACTCAGGGAGCCATCTTGGGGTCCTCTTGGGGCTCTTGCCCAAGCCTCAGCATCGCATCGGAGGTGACAATACGAAAACGGAAACAGCATCGATGTTCCCGAGGTGTTCCTATGCTTTGGCCTTCTCGAGGGCTTTCTTGGGCCCGTCTTGGGCGGCGTTGGGGGACTTCTGGGAGGCCTCCTGGCTCTCTCCCGTGCGTGCGCCCTCGGCGTCCCTGGAGGCCGTCGGAGGGCGGGCTGTCTTGGGCCGCTGGACGCGCTCTTCGGGCCCGCCGTGGGCAGTCCAGAAGCTCTCCCGGTGAGGCCCTGGGAAGCCCAGGCTGGCCCAGGAGGGCGTTGCCTGGGATACGTCGAAGATGATGTTCAGGAGGCGGGCGGGGCCCCGGGGCGCCGGGGGGGGGGGGGCGGCAGTTGTGCATACATGTGTGTATATATATATATACTCTGACACCAAGAAGTTCTGACCCCCCCCCCAATGGATCCCGGAGGCCCCTCCAGCCTCGTTATTTATCGAGTAGGGCGGCCTTCGGGGCCCAAAAAGAACGTTTAGCTGGAGACATCCTCGGAAAACTGCCCAGGACGGCCCTAGAAGCGCCTCAGATGACCCAAGACAACCTCAAGACGGCCCAAAAGGGCTCCAAGAGAGCCCAAGACTGCCCAAGATGGCCCCAAGACGTCCCAAGAGGCTTTCAAAACGCCCCAAAAGGCACCCACGACGCGTCCCCTAAGGCCCCATAGACCCAAATCATGGATTTTCTTGAGACAAAGTACATGTCTAACCTCTACGGTTTTTCGGCTTTCATGCCGTTGAAGACGGTCTCCACGACGCCCCCACGTTCGCCCCAAGACGGCCCAAGAGGCTTCCAAGAGGCCCCAAACACAGCCCAAGAGGGCGCCAAGAAAGCTCAAGAGGCGCCCAAGACGGTCCAATAGGCCCCCAAAAGCGCCCAAGACGGCCCAAGAGCCTCCCAAGATGCCCCCCAACGGCCCAAGAGGGCGCCAAGACGGCCCAAGAGGCGCTCAAGAACTATGCCCCCAAAAGCGTTCCAAGACGGCCCAAGAGCCTCCCAAGATGCCTTCAAACCGTCCCAAGAGGGCGCCAAGACGGCCCAAGAAGGCGCCAAGACGGCCCGCGAGGGCGCCAAGTACGAACGATGACGTAACACGGTCGTCCCACAATGGCTCCCATGAGCGAACGTTGCCATGAGCGATCAAATGGCTGAAGCGTTATTTCCGTTTCCGCGCCGGCCCAGGTAACGGAAAGAGCGAGGTACGAGTGATGACGTTCTGGTGTGGGCGAAGCCCTCAAGGGAGGGGTTCTAGGGGAGGGGGGTAGCGTGCGCACCTGCGTGTTAATGGCCGTTTTCGGGTTTTCCCTTGGGTTTTTGCATGTTTTTCGGGTTCCCCCCAAGACGGCCCAAGAGCGCACCAAGAGAGCCCGAGACCGCCCAAGACGGCCCAAGAGGCCCCCAAGAGGCCCCCAAGAGGCGCCCAAGGGGCGTCCGAAAAGGGCCCCAAGAGGCCGAAATCATTGATTTCCAATCGGAAAGCGTATATTTTTAGCATATGCGCTTTGTCGGCTTTCACGGCGTTGACGACGGCCCAAGAGGCCCCCAAGACCGCCCCAAGACGGCCCAAGAGGCTCCCAAGAGGCCCCCAAAACGGCCCAAGAGGGCCCCAAGACAGCCCAAGAGGCGCTCAAGACGGCCCAAGAGAGCGCCAAGACGGCCCCAAGAGGGGGACCACGAACCGAAAACTCGAGCCTTTCGCCCCAGGAGGCCCCCACTGCCCCCCAAGAAGCCCCAAGAGGCCCCCAAGAGGCGTCCCACGAGGCCACCGGGAGTTGAAAATCATGAATTCCGATGGGAAAAAGGTACATTTTTAGCATGCAAAGCTTTTTGGCTTTCACTGCGTTGAAGACGCTCCAAGAAGCCCCCAAGACCGCCCCAAGACGGCCCAAAACGGCCCAAGAGGGCGCCAAGACGGCCCAAGAGGCGCCCAAGACGGCCCGACGGCCCCAAGAGGGGGACCACGAACCGAAAAGTCTAGCCTTTCGCCCCAAGAAGCTCCAAGGAGGCCCCCAGAACCCCCCAAGAAGCCCCAAGAGGCCCCCCGAGAGGTTCCCAAGAGGCCTCCGAAAGGGCCCGACAAGGGCCCCAATAGGACCCCCAAAAAGGCCCAGAGACGCCAAATAGAGAGCGATCGGTAACGCAAAAAGCTCTTCACACCAAGGCTCCCAAGAGCGAACGGTGACGTAAACAAGCTGATAAGACCAGGGAGCGGTGACGTAACAAGTTCCTGACACCAAGGCCCAGCCAAGGCTCAGGAACGGGCGGCAACGCAACAATCTCTGAACACCAAGGCTCCCGCAAGCGAGGGGTGACGTAACAAGCTCTCAACGCCAAGGCGCCCAATACGAACGGTGGTGTGAATAATTTCGGCTTCTGCTTCTGAAGCGCTCTTTCCGTTTCTGTGCCGGGCCAGGTAACGGAAAGAGCGAGGTGCGAGTGATGGCGTTTTGGTGTGGGCAAAACCCTAAAGGGAGGGGTTCCAGGGGAGGGGCGAAGCGTGCGGAGATGGGCGTTAATGGCAGTTTTCGGGTTTTCCCCCTGGTTTTTTGCACGTTTTTCGGGTTCCCCCCCAAGACGGCCCAAGAGCGCTCCAAGAGAGCCCAAGACCGCCCCAAGACGGCCCCAAGAGGCTCCCAAGAGGCCCCCAAAACGGCCCAAGAGGGCGCCAAGACGGCCCAAGAGGCGCCCAAGACGGCCCAAGAGGGCCCCAAGACGGCCCCAAGAGGGGGACCACGAACCGAAAAGTTTAGCCTTTCGCCCCAAGAAGCTCCAAGGAGGCCCCCCAGAACCCCCCAAGAAGCCCCAAGAGGCCCCCAAGAGGTTCCCAAGAGGCCTCCAAAAAGGCCCGACAAGGGCCCCAATAGGACTCCCAAGAAGGCCCCGAGACGCCAAATAGAGAGCGATCGGTAACGCAAAAAGCTCTTCACACCAAGGCTCCCAAGAGCGAACGGTGACGTAAACAAGCTGATAAGACCAAGGCTCCCAGCCGAACGGTGACGTAACAAGTTCCGACACCAAGGCCCAGCCAAGGCTCAGGAACGGGCGGCAACGCAACAATCTCTGAACACCAAGGCTCCCAAGAGCGAGGGGTGACGCAACAAGCTCTCAACGCCAAGGCTCCCAGTGCGAACGGTGGTGTGAGTAATTTAGGTTTCTGTTTCTGAAGCGCTCTTTCCGTTTCGGTGCCGGGCCAGGTCTACTGGCCCTACCTTCGACCCAAGAGACCTCTCGACCTCTCATGCGTGTCCACGCTTCCTGCCTCTGCACTGGCCTGCCCATCCCAATCCTCCCCCAAGGCCTTCGGAGTTCCTTTGTGCTCCCATCAACCCCCCGTTCCACCATCCCCCAATCATCCATCACATCGCCGCCACTGTAGGCAGCGACCTCACGCAGGGTCGCGCCGCGCCAGTAGGCGCGGCGCGACGTGACAGACCCCCAGGCAATCTGTCAATTTCTTCCCATGCGTCCTCGTCTTCATCGAATGACATGCGCTTCTCCCTTCCGCTGCGCGCTTGCCGCCTGGCCCCCCTCTACGCACAACGCAATGTACCAAGACGTGGAAGCGAAGCGCAGCGAGCTTCAAATCTTGTATATATATATATACACACCGTATGTATATACACATATATATATATATATACACAGAGATGCATCCATACATCTGACTACATCGTGCCGCTCCGCCCCGCGTGGCGGGAGGCCGAGGAAAGCTCGGGACCATGCACGCATGGGGGCCAAGAGACGTGGTGGGCAGGAACGGGCGGCGCGGAGCACCAAGCAAAAAGTCCCCGATCCGAAGGTCGGCCGAAGAATCGGCTGGCGCCCACATACCGAATTCCACCGAATCGACTGGAAAGGTTCGACGGTGGCTCCAGTCGGCAGAAGTTCGGGCCGCCGCCCATATAGAAATGTAAACACACATCGCCGTATCTCTCGCCATCCGGAAGTGGTGGCCTTCGGCTGGCCACTGCCATCATTCTTATGATCACCACCGCCACCATTTCATCATCATTATCATCACCACCACCACCATCTCCTCATCATCAGCATCGTAATGGTGATAATAATAAGAATTATCATAATCAGCATCGTTATCAGCAGCATCATCAGCATCATAACTATCAGCATCAACATGTTCAGCAACATCATCGTCGTCATCATCATAATCGTCATCAGCATGGTCAGCATCATCAGCATCCTCAACATCATCAGCCGTATAATGATCATCAGCATCAGCATCAGCACCAGCATCATTATCATCACCATAGCATCATCATTATCACCATTATCAGCATCGCCATCATTATCCTCCTCCTCCTCCTCATCATCCTCATCATCATCATCATCAGCATCATCATCATCATCATCGTCATCAAAATCAGCATCATCACTGTCATCACCATCGGCATCATCGTCGTCGTCATCGTCATCGCCGTCGGCATAGCCTCATTAACAATACCGTCGTTTTGTCGTCGCGCCGTCGACGTCATTGTCATCACCCTCCCGGGCGGGTGGTACTCGGGGCTGACCTAAATTGGGCCCAATTTCCCCACCCCCCATTATTGGCGGTGGACAGACCTCCCTTGAGTAAACCTCCCTTTCGTGAAAACAGCCTAGGACCGAAACCGACGGCCCTGGACCCGCAAAAATGACGGCCGCGACGCCCTCTCGCGAACCGAAAACAGCCAATTCGCTAATCGACGTGTCAGGGTAGGAGGTCTATCAACCTCCGACATTACCACTCAGCGTCGTTGTCGCAGCTCTCGCCGCCCGAAAGCGGTGGCCTTCAGCTGGCCCTTCAGCTGCTCCAGCTCCCCCTCCACGGCGGCCGACGCCGAGAGCTCGCGCCTGAGGCTGGCCACCTCGGCCTCATGGGCGTGGTGGCGCGCTCGTCGTCGCCCTTGCAGGCCACAGCGCATCGCCACGGCGGCCCCGGCGACACGCCATGCCTTGAGAACGGACAGCAAGTCGCTCCGCTCCGCGGGGCGGGAGGCTTCGAAAAGCTCGGGACGTTGACGCGCCGAAGCGCGCTAACCTCTCGCGTCCCTCCGGGTTCCCAGGATCCTCCTGGTCCCTGTTTTGGAAGGCCAACCTTCCTCGGGTTCCCCGGATTTCTAGGTTTCCGCAGGGTTCTTCACCCTCCATCTCCTCCTCCTACAACCCTCGTCGAAATTAACATCAAAAAATGTCTGACGTGGTTGAACTGCTTGTCGGAAGATCTGGGGCCGAGTATCGATGAGTGCGGGGTACTTGCATGCGCCGCCCCTCCAATGTCGGTCGACGTTAAACTTTCGAGTCAACTTCGGTCAGACTATTTTTGCCCTCGCCCCGACATTGAAGGGGCGGCGTGTCGACATTGGAGAGAGCGTGATCCACCGCCGCTTTACTGTGGAAAATTGCCCCCCTCTTCCTCCGGAACCCGGGGGCCCCCCCCCCTCCGAAATTCCCCCCCCCCCTGCTGGACCCCCCCCCCTCCCCTCCCCGGCAACCCCCCCCCCCCTCCCCTAACCCCCCCCCCCCTCCCCCTCGAAAGCCGGGGGGGGTCACTACCGGTTCGAACCCCCCCCCCCCTCGAAAACGGAGGGGGGTCACTACCGGTTCGAACCCCTCCCCACCCCCCCCACTCACCGCCAGCAAACGACTCCCGGTCCCTACCACCGTCCGCATCACATCCCCCACTGTTGTTCCCAGCACCACTGTCCTCACCACCACTGTCCCCACTGGTTCCACCACCGTCCCTACTGTCCCCACCAGTGCCCCCACCACTGTCCCCACTGTCCCCACTGTTCCCACCACGGTTCCACTCTCCCCACTTTCTCCACGGCCCCAACCACTGCCCGACTATCCCCACTGTCCCCACTGTCCCACTGACTCCTCCGCTGTCCCACTGAGCTGTCCCACTGTTCCCACCACTGTCCCCACTGTCCCCACCACTGTCCCCACTGTACCTCTGTCCCATTGTCCCACCGCCGTCCTCGCCACCGCCTTCACCACTGTCCCCACCACCACTGTACCCTCCACTGTCCCACTGCTTCCACTTCATTCCCACTGTCCCCACACCACTGTCTCCACCACCACCGTCCCCACCACTGTCCACTGCCCCCACTGTTCCCACCATTGTCCTCACCACTGTCCCCACCGCTACCGTCCCCACCACCGTCCCACTGTCCCCACCACTGTCCCGATGTCCCCTCACCACTGTCCCCACCACCACCGTCCCCACCACTGTCCGCACCCCCACTCGGTTTTCGAGGGGGGGGGGGTTCGAACCAGTAGTGACCCGCCCTGGTTTTCGAGGGGGGGGGGTCGAACCGGTAGTGACCCCCCCCTGTTTTCATGATGAACTGGGGGGGGGGGGGGAGGGGTTCGAACCGGCAGTGACCCCCCCCGGTTTTCCGGGGGGGGGTGGAGGGGTTCGAACCTGTAGTGACCCCCCCCCGGTTTTCCGCCAGCAGCGGTAGAGCACGCTCTTTCCGACATTGAGGGGCGCGCCGACATCGAAATGACGTGCCAGCAACTGTTGAGGTTAATCTTGACGAGGGTAGTACCCACCGGTCGGAAGAAGTAGGTAGAAACATGAAGTAGGCAGGCGTTGGAAATACATTGGGTTTCCGCCCGCCTCCTGAAGAGGAAGGAAGAGGGAAAACCACTCGACTCTTGAAGTAGGAAGGCGCTGAAAGTAGATTGGAATCTGGGAATCCAAAAATACCTATTTCCAACGACCGATGGGTAGTCCTCCTCCTCCTCCTCGCCCCAGCCTCCTCCTCGTTCCCCTTTCCCCTTTTTCCCCTTGCCACCCTGCAGCACACTTCTTGCCCGCAGCGCCGGCGGACGCAAGAGCGCGACCGCAGAGAGTCTGCGGGCCGCGCCAGGCACTGAGAGCACACCAGGGCACACCAGAGCACGCTATAGAGGATCGAGGATCGATCGAGGAACGAAGAAAGCGCGAGGATCGATCGAGGATCGATCGAGGATCGAGGATCGATCGAGGAACGAAGAACGCGGATCGAGGATCGGAGGATTTGAGGATCGGAGGTAGAGGCCGCGGAGGAGGAGGAAGGCCACCCCGCAGAACAAACAACGGGCCATGCATGCTTCGGGCGGCGGGGCCGAGCCGAGCCCCGCGGGGCGGTCAAGCGTAAAAACTGAGCGGCCCACCGAAACACCCCTCATCATTGTCGTCACGTTCGTCATCATCGCGGTCATCATCATTCACATCAACACCCTCATAATCATAACACTTGTAATAATCATTATCATCACCCCCACCATCATCATCACCATCATCACTATCACCATCGCCACCATCAGCACCATCATCATCATCATCATCATCATATCCTTCTCATCACCATCATCATCATCATCATCAGCATCATCAGCATCACCATCGTCGTCATTATCATCAGCGTCGTCATCGTGGTCGCCATCGTCATCGTCATCGTCGTCATTATCATTGTCGTCCTCGTCATCGTCATCCGCATCGTCTTCGCCTTCATCGTCATCATCGTCATCATCGCTTTCATCGTCATGATCGTCACCATCGTCATCATCATAATCATCATCATCACACTCGGAATCATCATCAGCATCACAACCACCACCACCACCAGCATTGCCGTCATCCTCATCATCGGAATCTACACCGCCATGAAACCCATCAGAAGCATAATCTGCAGCATCTTCATCATCACCATCGTCATCACCAGTGTCATCATCATAACCAACAGCATCAACATCATCGTAAGCAACACCATCTCAGTCACCATCAGCACTGTGATGCCCGAAACAAGCATCACGATCCTCGTCGCTGCCGACGCCATGGGCATTATCACAATCATAGTCATCATCACCATCAGCATCAGCATCAGCATCATCGTCGTCAGTACCAGCATCAGCATCATCTTCAGCATCATCATAATCTTCAGCTTCACCGTCATGAACGTCATACCTGTCCTCTTCCTCATCCGCATTGCGATGATGATCATCATCGTCAATGACCTCGCCATCATCATCAGCAGTATCATCATCAGCATCGCCATCATCGTCATCGTCATCATCTGCAGCATCATTGTCATCATCGCACTTGCAATCGTCGTCATCGTCGTACTTATCATCACCGCCGTCATCGCAATCAACGTAGTCACAATCGTCATAAGCATCGTCGTCGTCATCGTCGTAATCGTTGTCGTCGATCTCATCATTCGTAACCATCGTCGTCGTCGTTTTCAAGGTCGTGATCAGTGTCGTCGTTAGCAGTACCATCGGAATCATCGACATCGCCAACATCATCATAATCGTCATCGTCGTCCTGCTATCATCGTGTCGTCGTCATCGTTCTCGCCGCGACCATCATCTGCATCATCGTTATTACCACAATGCTCATCACCAGCGTTGTCTTCCTCACCATCATCATCGCCCAGCAGGGTCACGCATCAGCATCATCATCACTCAGATCCTCCATCATCCCACACCCATCTGACCCCTCGTTCCCCAAACGCATCCTCCCCCTAGTCTTCGTCATCATCATCATCGTCATCATTATTATCATCAGCATCACCAGAATCAGCATCATCAGCGTCATCATCATCGTCGTCCACATGGGCACCATCGCCACCATCATCGTCGTCACCAGCATCGTCATCACTACCATCATCATCGCAATCAACGCCATCGTCGTCTCGTCGTCGTCATCATCTATCGACATCACCACAGATCATCACCGTCAGCATCATCATCATCAGCATCATCAGCATCAGCCTCATGATCAGCAGCAGCAGCAGCACCACTACAACCATCCCTCCTCTCCTGCGTCATCCCTCACCATGCCTCATCCTCATCGCCCCCCATCTCCTCCTCCTCCTCCTCCTCCTCCTCCTCCTCCTCCTCGCCTCCTCCTCCTCGTCCTCCTCCTCCGCCTCCTCCTCCTTCTCTTCCTTTATTCCCCGTTCCCATCACAATCCCCATCCTCGTCGTCATCCTCGTGCTCCTCCTTCTCAACCTTCCGCCGTCCTCCTTCACCACGCCTCCCCCGCCTCCTCATCCTCAGCCTCTTCCCCTTACAACGTGCACATGGACAAGATCGAGTCGGCCGAAGGCGAGCCGACCATCGGGCGCGAACGGCTGGAGCGGGAGGTGCGGGCCATCAAGATCGAGCAGCCCCACGACGAGAGCAAGGCCGAGCTCCTCGTCGCAGCCCGCACGTGGCAGCTTCGCGCCACCGTCACACGAGCGTTCGAAGCCGAGGGGGTGGCGACGAGGTTCACGGGCGTGATGCCTGCGGGCTGGCTGGAGACGAGGCTGCGGCCTGGCTGGACGTCCTGCAGAGGAGCTGAGCAGCCGAGCAATGTTGTTCGTTCGCGGAGGGACCGTGGGCGGCGAGGTGCAGCACCCACCCATACCTATATCGTGTTCCTCCTCCTCCGCAGCTCCATATCACCGTGAGCAATGGCCTGGGAACGAGGCTGGTGCAGAGGCGGCGGGGGTCCTCTTTAGTTAGCTGGGCGCATTGCATGTTCCTCTCTCGTGCGAGCTATTCTGGTGGGCGAATATCACGACAGTCTAACGCCCGTGATCGGGCACCGCTGCACCTGGCCACAGGTTCCAGCTTTGCGGAAAAAAAACACCCAGGTGGTTCAGGGAACCTTTTTGCTCCCAAAGGGTTGCCTGAAATACAGGCCACTTTTGGCCGATCCGCGGGCTAGAAATTAAAGCTCGGCGACCTCGGAGAGGTGCCAGCTGGCGGCGCGCTGCCAATCGCTCGGCCCGCCGAGAACGGAAGGGCAGGCCAGGAAATCAGAAGCCGTAGGGAGCCGCGCCCCACGCGGCAAGGGTAGCTCCTGAGATCGCGGCTAACAAGTTTCCTTGGAGAGCTCAGCGACCGCGGTCTGCCACTGCTAGCTCCCCGCGTTGATGCGCGCTCGCCAGTTTTGTACCCCGCACCCCTGCTTCCTTGAGATTGGGCTCCCTCGTCGAGTAACGGGGGGGGGGGCTCTGCCTTTTACCCCACCAGTCCCCCTCCCTTCACCCCTCCTCCTCCTCCCTCCTCCCCCTCCCCCTACTCCCTCTCCCTCCCCGTCCCCCTCCCTTTTACCCCTCCTCCTCCCCCTCCCCCTATACTCCCTCTCGTCCTCCCTCGCATCACCACGCGGCGACGCCGACGACGACGACAACGACGACGGCCGCTTCGGCCTCGAGCTCGGCGACCCTCCCCGCCCCGGAGAGCAGCGACTGCAAGGAGGCCGTGGCGGGCGACGACCTCGGCAGCGCGGGAGGAGGGCGACCCGATCGATCGGCCGATCGATCCTCGAGCGCGCAAGGGGGCAGCGACGGAGGCGCCGCCGGGAAGTCCAGCGCCGACCCAAGAGACCCCGCGCGGCCCTCCGCAGGCTCCTGCCTGAGATGGTTTCCTATGTCAGTCTGGGGCACGCTTGAACCTGCTGGACGGCGCCGTCAAGCAAAGGTGGCGGGGACCGGAAGCTGGCCCAAGGCTCCCGCGGCAAGCCTCCCAGGAGAACGGGGCCGCCGGAACTCCTGCCAGGGCCGCGAAGAGGCGGGCGGCAGGCCCCAGCTCTGGCAAACTCGAGCCCTGCGCTTCCCCGAGCGATCGCGGCCCGACGGTCCGTTCGGGGTCTTCTACGGCGGCGGCGCGGACGAGCAGACCTCCACGTGGTTGCGGGCTCTGTGCAGCGCGTCCTTCAGGGTGCCGATCTCCGACAGCCGCTCGTGGTCCTTCTTGGCGACCTCCACCAACAGAGTCTGCACTATGGCCGGGGCCCTCTCCAGCTCCTCCACCTTCTCCGTGAGCTTGCGGATTTGCTGGAGATGCTCCTCAAGGCAGCCCGAACCACGGGGCATCTCTTGACAGCCGAAACCATCCCAACCCCGACACGCGAAAACTAGGGCCCGCTGGCTGGCCTACCCCAGCCCCCTTGGCGGGGATGGGTGCTGGCCTCGTGGGCTTTTGCAACACCCATCCCCACCCACAGGGGGCACACAGGGAGAGCCAACCTGCCCTGTCACTATCGGGCGCCATGCCAGCTGAACGCACCCATCAGCGTGTTACTTCTGAAGGGGTCGCACTCACAAATTGATGGCCCGTAACTCTTTATCGTCAGGAGCTGGTGATTGAGGTGTCGCGGCGGCGGTTCCAACGAGATGCCGTGCTGATAACGTGTCGCTCTGCTGCGTGGGACGGGAGTCTCGGAAAAGCTTGGGATTCTCGTGCTTGGGCACTGGAACGTGCTTAGCGTGTCGCGCAAAGGCGTAGTGGGGCTTGCAGCAGCTACAAGAATGACGGACGGTTCTTTTCGAAAGTGGGGCTCTCGTTTGAGACGTCCTCCGTACAATCGGATCTCGGACAGAAGAACAAACCTTCGAGAACATGAGACCCTCCGCCGGCCAGCACACACAGAACATCCAAAGGTACCCTCCCCAGGATGCACAAGAACGTCCAACGGACACGAGGAAACTTGGGGCATCCTCCCCGAACCGACCTCGGTCGGACCGTCATCTGAAGCCCAGGGAATGAAGCACATGTGGCTGAAGGGGCCCTGGGACACACAGAGAAAGAGACACAGGTGACAGGATGCCCCAGATCCTCCCATATTCTTCAGGGCTTTTGCCATCCCCCCCACTTCCCATATCCCCTTTCGGCACCCTCTCTCCCCTGCACCCCCCCTCGCCCAGGAGGAGGAGGAGGAGGAAGAGGAGGAGGAGGAGGGGGAGGAGGAGGAGGAGGAGGAGGAGGAGGAGGAGGAGGAGGAGAAGGAGGAGGAGGGTCGACGATCAATTGCGTCTGTGTGTTGTTGTACCTCCTGACTGGTACCTGCACGGGCTGAGGGCGGTCGCCTCTCCAGGAGGGGGCCCTCGCCAGAGGGACGCCACGCGGCCGCGTGCCACAGCCGGGGCCGCTCGCCCGAACGGCACGCCCGTGGTGAGGGGCCTGCTTTCCACCACCACCACCATAAGTTGGAGGGGGGAAGGGGGAGGACGAGGAGGAGGACGAAGAGGACGAGGAGGAGAATGAGGAGAATGAGGAGGAGGAGGAGGACGCAACGCCGCCGCGTGTCACAACCGGGGCTCTCGCCCGAACGGCACGCCCGTGGTGATGGGCCTGCTGTCCACCACCACCACCATGAGTTGGAGGGGGAAGGGGTCCTCCTCCTCCTTCTCCTCCTCCTCCTCCTCCTCCTCATTCTCCTCCTCATTCTCCTCCTCCTCCTCCTCCTCCTCCTCCTCCTCCTCCTCCTCCTCCGCCTCCTCCTCCTCCCTCCCCCTTCCCCCTCCCCCTTCCCCCCTCCAACTTCTGGTGGTGGTGGTGGAAAACAGGCCCATCACATAGGGTGCGGGTCTGTCAGAGCGCGCTTCTGGCAGTGAGGAGAAAAGCCTGCAGGGACTCCTGTGGAGAGGACTTCGGAACGGGAGGGTGTGTCGCAGCATCGTTGATGCATGCTGGGTGTATCGTGGTCATCGTCAGCCTCCCTCTTGGGCCCCTCTTCGAGCGCCGAGGGGGGGCCCGAGAGAGTCGTCCATGCCCAATTCGCCGGATTGGAGGCTGGAGGCACAGCATCTGCATCCACATCAGTGGAACAAACAGCTCTTCAAGCTGCTGTAAAGCTGTTGCCCTGGTGGGGTTGCGACAGCCTTGGGGATCTCTGGGGGGGGAAACGGAGAAGAGGACGAGGAAGAAGCAGAGAGAAGAGGATAGGATATCACGGGACACTTTAGAGTAGAAGGAAGATGAAGAGGACGAACAGGAAGATTACGTATGGAGGAAGAGGAGGAGGAAGAGAAGGAACAGCAAGATGCAGAACAGGGAACTGAGGAAACAGTGGCGCGACAATGGGGGCGAATGATCTACGTAGATGGACGAGGAAGAAGAGACGTATGAGGAAGAAATACGTGGTATACGATGACGAGCATCATGGGTGAGGCATAGTAAGACGATGGGGAGGGCGTTAGCAATCGTCTTGGTAACACATGGCTGCCTCTTTGAATATGGTTGGGCATCCCCTTGGTCCATGTTGGCCCATCCTGCGGCATCGTTGAGAAGAATATTGGAATGCATGGTGCCATATTGCCGCCATCGTGGAGGTGTTGCTAACGCCCGTGACCAGCATTGCTCGAGCCATTGGTTGCGCCATCGGCTGCGCCTTGTGCGCAACCGAATCACAAGTTGGTCCGATCTGCATGGGTAGCGCCAGAGGTAGCTACACTGGTTGTGCCGCGGGTGGCGCCATGGACTCGAGGACCCCCAAGCAGAACAGTTGGCTCCATCGGTATCCGTCACGATGTTGAGCTTGCATGTAAAAAGCTTGTGCTCATTGTTTATTGTATCCGCCCTTCATTCCCCCTTTCCCTTCCTCTGCAGGCAAGGCTGGGGTGTACGCGGTTTGCTGTCTTTTGCCCAGACTGCTTACTTCAGGTATCGGAGGGCGCTGCTGAAGGGGCCTTGGGACACACAACCAAATAGACACACATAGCAGGATTCCCCACATGTTTCCATGTTGTCTGGGTTTCTGTCTTCCCCCCACTTCCCATAGTTTCGCATATTTTCCTGGGAGTCGAGGAGTCGACGATTCATTGTGTCTGTGTGCTTTTTGTTCCCCCCTTCTGAGCTGCTGACGAATGATACGCGTACGCGCAGCGTGCGGGGTGGGCCTCTCTCCGAGGGCATGCTTTCTGAAGCCAGCAGTGGGGGAGGTACTCACGGGTACGATCGAGGGCAGAAAGGGGAACGACGCATCCAGCAAGAGCGGGCACCATCAGCGAGTTCGCACTGCTCCTACGACCTTGCACGTAGGTTGTGGTGGGGCCGCTGGGGGCTGCAGGCGATCATATCTGGCACATCGAGCCAAGAGAGGGAGGAGTAGACTGAGGGGAGGAGAAGGAGGGGTGATGATGAGATGGATGAGGAGGAGGAGGTGGAGGAGGACAGGAGCTGCAAGAGCAGGTGGAGGAGGCTCGGAAAAGAGAGAGACGAAGGGAATAAAAATAGGACAGGAGGAGGAAAAGGGAGGAGGAGGAATCACGGGCTTACGGAGTTGCAGCCACAGCAGGCGTGGCAACGACCGACACTAACCAGAGGAGCTGGACAGGGGGGCACGAGGAGGAGGAGGTGGAGGATCGGGTCGGGCGAAAGGGGGGGATAGCAAAGGGGGGGGGGTGAGAATCAGCTCACGTAGCTGATGTTCCCGGCGCCGGAGGCGGCCATGTATCGAGGAATGGGCCCCCCGGTGAGGCCGAAACCAGCTGCATGCAGCAAACTTCGTAACCCCCCATTTCCCAATCCCCCCCTTTCGCCCGGCCCGAGAGGAAGGTGAGACAGGAGGCGGCAGGAGGAAGGAAGCAGAGAGGAGGCAGGACGCGGGAGGAGGCGGGAGGCAGGGCAGGGCTCCTGCTCCCTGCGCCCCACCTCCGCGGCCCTGGCCTGGGCCTCCGCCACGGCGCTCCCGGGCGACTGTGCCTCCGCCACCTCGGCAGGCCCCAGGGGTCCGCCGGAGATCCGCCGGCGGGAGGGGGCGGGCTCCTCCTCGTCCCTCGTCTTCCTCCTCCTGCTCCTCCTCCTCCTCCTCCTCCTCATCCTCCTCCTCCTCCTGCTCCTCCTGCTCCTATCCTCCTCCTGCTCCTCCTCCTCCTCCTCCAAACCATCCTCCTCCTCCTCCTCCTCCTCCTCCTCCTCCTCCTCCTCCTCCTCCTCCTCCTTCTCGTTTTCCCCCTCCTCCTCCTCCTCCTCCTTCTCCTCCTCCTCCTCCTCCTCCTCCTCCTCCTCCTCCTCGTTCTCCTCCTCCTCCTCCTCCTCCTCCTCCTCCTCCTCCTCCTCCTCCTCATCCACCCCCTTTCCCCCCGCTTGAGGGGGGGGAGGGCGGGAGAGGGAGTTGACAGGAGCACAAGGAAAGGAGGGAGAGGATAAGCACGAGGGAGCAGGGAAAGGAGAGGAGGGGTGGCGGGGGGGCTATGGGGGAGGAGGGGGGGAAAGAGGTGTAGGAAGGGGCAGGGGGACGTGCCAGGCTTAACCCCCTGACCTTGTGCTCCAGCCTCGATATCTCTCTGAGATATTCCTGCTCCTTCTGCAAGCGCTCGGCCATGGCCTGCTTCTGGAGGACCGCCACCTGTGGTCGTCGTCGCCACTATCATGGAATGCTTCATGCTTCTATTATTGTTCTGAGGTGTTCGGCGGCTTTGGCTGTTTACGGAAGATATCGGCGGCGAGGACTTGGACGAAGACGACGACTTCCCAAACTTCCAACGCGGTGTTGTAGTCGGAACGTTGGCCCCGGAGCTCTTCGGCCCCGTCCCCTGGGCTTCCTTTTCACGCGGTCGTGGCCTCCCTGGCCCAGAGATGCCCCAGACACCTAACGTGCAGAAGCGAAAACAACCTTTGAGTTTTTGTGCGCGCGACGCTTGAGGACTCTCCTCCTGAGGGAGCACCTGGCTGAGCGTACCCTCGAGCTCGGAGATGCGAACCTTTTGGCGGCGAGCCGGGGGGGGAATGTGAGAAGGGGCGGGCCTTCCCAGAAGGCTCGGAAGGTCTCGGGCCTTCTAAAGAGTCTTCGAAGACATCCCCGAAAACACGGGGAACTTCTCAGACGGCGGCGCGAGGGCTTCCGAGAAGTCCCGCCGCCTTCTGAGGAGGCCTTCTCTAGGGGAACAAAAAGTGACATAAACATAAAACTCGGAGGTCCGCGCGGATTTCGCGGATCGGCGCTGGACCCCCCTCCCTGGCGCGCGGAGCGCGCCAGGGGCGGCGCCGGAGGCGCCGCTGGGGGGCCCCATCGCCGATCCGAGAAATCCGCGCGGACCTCCGAGTTTTTATGTTTATGCCACTTGTTGTTCCCCTATTCTCCTTCTCACCTTCCCCCCCCCTCGCTCGCCGCCGAACCTTGCTGTCCTGCTCTCTCCTGCGCAGCTCCGCGATCAGCGCCTGCGGCAGGAGGCCCGCTTGCGCGGCGGAGGGGCCTCCTCCTCCTCCTCCTCTCCTCCCCTCCTCCTCCTCCTTCTCCTCCCCCTCCTCCTCCTCCTCCTCCTCCTCCTCCTCCTCCTCCTCCTTCTCCTCCTCCTCCCCCTCCTCCTCCCCTCCTTCTCCTCCTCCTCCCCCTCCTCCTCCCCCTCCTCCTCCTCCTCCTCCTCCTCCTCCTCCTCCTCCTCCTCCTTCCCCGCACCGTCCCGTCCCGTCCCGTCCCTGCCCTGCCACCCCCCCCTCTTCGGGCGGGTGGTACAGCCGATAAAGAACGAAGGTCCTTTTTGGCCCCCCCCAAGCGCCTGCGTGCACGAGGAGGGTTGCAGGAACAGCCATGGCAGGACCCAGGGAGCATCAATCCTTTCCGAACCAAAACTGTTCCCTATTCCCGCGTCTTTGCTGCAATGGGGGGGGGGACTTCAAGGGGGGGTGAAGAAAAACAGCCCTACAGGGGCCCGTCCCTTCACCCCTCATTTAGATCACCCCCGCTATCACCCAACCGACCCCCGTCTCCTCACTCGCCTCACCTGCTGGTACACCTACGCCTGCTACTTCTACTGCTGCGTCAACGACCCCTTACGACTCACTCTAACGCTACGCACCACCGCCGCCACCGCCACCACCACCACCAGTAATGCTGCCGCCAGTGGCATTGCTACTGGAACGGATGAATGCCCTCCACCCACCACCTGCACTAACTACCCATCCCAATACCCTTGCCACGAACAAAATAAGCCGATCCTTTAGGTGCGACCCCCCCAAGCCGCCAAACTGTCCATCTGGGGCGAAAAGCCTGGTACCCCTGCCTTTTCCTCCTCCGTCTGCTCCTCTTTTCGCTCCGCCTCCTGCTTCCCCCCTACTCCTCTTCGCCCGAGCGGGCCAACCAAGCTGGGGGGGGGGAGGCTACTGGGGTCCCATGGGCGACCAATGGACGGTAGGAGATCCATGCGTCCCCCCCGGAGCCGGTCCCCTCTGACGTTGCCCCTGGCATCCGGGCCATAACTCTAGAGGGCAGAAAAACCACCCCGATAAGAATCACCCCGCCACGCGAAGCCGTTTCGCAAACGCACCCAAAGACAAAATCAAACAGGACAGGGCTGCGCGATAAACGCCCAGGGCCGCTTGGTAGACGCCAATTGTCCGGTCTGGGTGTCTCTCCCGCCCATTGAAACTCGCATTTCTGGCGGCTGCTCGGGACCATTTGGGCACCTCCCGAACGCGCTCGGCGGGGCGCAGCCGCTGGCGTCTGCAACAAAAACTGCCGAGCACCGACGCAGCTGTCCGACGACCGCGAGCCTCCGCTTCCCGACGCCGCCCCCGAGCCGCCGCAGCCGCTGGAACGAGCCCCGGGGCCGAACGGCCTCCGAGAGCCGACGGCACTGTCCGAACATCGGCGGCGAGCCCTGGGACGAAGTGGGAGGGGACTGCCTCCTCCTCTTCCTCCTGCTCCGCCTCCTCCTCCTCCTCCTCCTCCACATCCTCCTCGTCTTCCTCCTCCTCCTCCTCCGTAGTTATTTTGGCTCAAGGTGTGCGGTTCCCGCGGGGGCCAAACGGATGCCGCTAGTCCGCGTCAGCTTTCGTTTCGCGCGGCCTGTTCGCCCAGGTCAGGACCATCGCCCGTGCCAGCGCGCGGGCTGCTCCTGGCGTCGGCGGGCTCTGGAGGCGCGGCGGCAAGGGCGACTTCGAGTGCAAGATGGTTGGCGGCGTGCCGCGGGCCAAGGGCGCAGTGCGGCAGGGCTGGGCGTGCAAGTCCTGTGTCAGCAAGCGCGGGCGAGCGGTCGTCAACTGGGGGACGGCGCTCAAGTGCCATGGCTGCAGGCTGCCCCAGGGCCACGTGCTTCGGGGCGAACGTGCCGCTCCCCGCGGCGGCCAAGTCGAAGACAGGCGTGGTGCCTGGCGGCGGTGGCGGCAAGGTTCCTCCCTGGGCTGGCAATTCGCCGCTATCGGTGCAGCTGGCCCAGGCGCAGCGCGAGCTCGCGGACCTCAAGAAGCAGCTCAAGGCCGGCGGGCCTGCCAGCGCTGGCGGGCCGCTCGGCGGGGCGCAGGCCATGGCGGTCGACGACGGCGAGAACGCTGGGGCTGGCGACGCGGCGGTGCTCGCCGAGATCCATGTGTGCGAGTCGGGCCTGCACGCCATCAAGGACCAGACGGCGGAGTGGGCTGCGGCGCCTCGGGACGAGCTGCGCACTAGGCTGGGGAAGGCCAAGGCGCGGCTGTTCGCCAGCAAGCCGCTCCACGCGCGGACGCACGCCATCGCCAACAAGGCCAAGCAGTGTGCCGAGCGCCCGGGGAAGGCGGAGGGCAACAAGCGGAAGGCGCAGGAGGCCCTGCAGCGGGCGATGGAGGAGGTGCAGCGGGCGGAGAAGGTGCACTCCGACCTCCTGGAGAAGCAGGTTGCGCTGCAGGCCGACCTGGCGCAGCTGCAGCAGCAGGCGCCCCAGGCTCCACCGCCGCGGGCTGCGGGCCAGGCCATGGCGCAGGATGTCATCGGCGGGCTCGGCACCACAGCCGAGCTGGCTGGAGTCTATCGTGCTGCAGCAGCTGGCGGCCCACCCGAACGAGGAGCAGCGTGTGCCCGCGGATGCGCAGAAGCACATGGCAAGCGCGCTGGGCGAGCGCATCGCGGAGTTGCGCATGTCCAAGCGGGCGCGGCGCGAAGGAGGCTCCCGCTGAGGAGCATGCCAGTGCCAGCCAAGATCTCGCCAGCACCGCGGCCGCTGCGCGTGAGGGCGCAGGGCGGGGCGGGCCGTCCCAGCCAGCGCCCGAGGCAGCAACGCCTGGAGGTGGCAGCAGCGCCGCGGTCGCGCCGCGCTGGCAGCCCGAGGAGGAGTCTGTGGAGCAGCTCCAGCAGCGGCTGCGGAAGCACGGGTTGGAGCTCGAAGGCGGCGAGGAGTCGGCCGCGCGCGCCCGCTGCGCTGCGCTGGCCCGCGGGGGCTTCCAGCCCCACTAGGATCCCGCTGCTCCTCAGCATGTGGTTTGGCGCCATGGCGAAGGGCAGCATCATCGCGGCGAACGTGACGGCGGGGGGGGGCCCTGTCGCCGCGCGTCGAGGGCATATGCGAGCGCGCAGAGGCCGCGGTCCTCCTGGTTCAGGAGCACCACGCCAGGGACCACGACAGGCTGGCCGCCTTGCAGCAGGCCATGCTGGACCACGGGCACGCGGGGCTCTGGGCGCCAGCCGTCGAGGGGCCCCGCGGCGAGGCTGGCGCCTCTGGCAGCGTGGCGGTGCTGACGCGCTGGCACATCGTGGTCACCAGCCCGCTGTTGCTGGAGAGCCCCCTGCCTCTGGCCGCGCGTCTGGTGGCCGCCCATGCGCACTGGGGTGCGACGGGCGGGCTCGTCGCCATCTCCGCGAACTTCCACGACAGCGCGGGGTGGAACGCGGACAACAAGCTCGCGGCCGCCGTCCTGATGACGTACCTGGCCAGGCTTAGCGCGGCTGGTCTCGACTGGATCGCGGGCGGCGGCTTCAACATGGAGCCCGCGAAGTTTCCCGTGCAACAGCTCCACGAGGTCCGTGGGCTTTGGGCGGCGGCAGAGGAGGCCACCTGCCGGCCGCGTGCGGGGGCCTGGCCGACGATCGACCACTTCCTCTTCGCTACCAACCTCGCTCCGAGGCTCGGCAGGCCGCAGGTCGACGAGCACGGCGCGACGAAGCCGCACTTGCCCGTGGCCATGGAGCTGCATGCGCAAGACCTCCCGATGCAGGTACGCGTGGTGCGTGGACCGCGGCCGATCGGCCCCGCACCGCCTGTGGGCTGCAGCCGTGGCGTCGAAGATTGGCGCAGGCCACTGGCCAAGGTGCGCGCAGCCGTCAGCCGCGAGCAGCTCGCCGCGGCCCGGGACGCGGTTGTGGCTGCGGTCGAGCAGGAGCTACTGAACCGTTACGACGTCGTAGGGCACGACACGACCAAATACGTCGGCAGGACTGGCGCTCTGGAGACGACTCTCGTCGCTGTCAAGTGGCGACCCCCTCGACGCAAGACCACTCTGGGACGCCATGCTGCGGCGCGTCGCGTCGCGTCGGGTTGGGGTCGGCACGCGATAGGGGTCGGGGCGTGCGTCGCCAAAGCGGTCTGCCAACACCACGGCGCCAGCCTCCTCCGCCCGCTGTTCGACGCCCAGTTTGAGAAGCTGGCGGGGTTCCTGCTGGAGGCGGCGGCGTACATCGACAGGGTCGCCGCCAGCCGCGGCGCGCTGGTGCCGCTGCCACACTGGGTGCAGGCCTTTTATTTGGCCAGCGGATGCTGATGTTCGCGCAGGCCGATTTCGCATGCCAGGCGTCGAGGGTCGTGGAGTATGCCAACGGCCAGTACGAAGCGGCGCTCTTGGCGCAGCAGAAGGAATGGGTCAGATGGGCCAGCGAGTATTTCTCCCACGGCGCTGACCGCGCCCATCGGCGCTCCAGGGCTAGGGACTTGCAGGAGGTGATCACGGCCTGGCACGGCCAGCAGCAGGAGGCGAGCCCGCACCTGGCATGCGATCGCGAGACGCAGCCTTGGGCGAAGGCGCGGCGGTGCCATGGGCTGCATCAGGTGCGTAATTAGGCCAGCGGACGCGGAGGAGCGGGGCGCGCTGCCTGAGGTCACCGTTGACAGGTTGAAGAGGGCGGCGCTCTCCTTCCCCACTGGTACGGCGGTGGGACCTGCCAAAGTAGGCATGCGTGCCCTCTCCTTCCTGTCAGATGACGGCATGTGCGCGTGCGCGCAGCTCTTCATGCGCATGGAGAAGATGGGCGCTAGGCCTGGCGACCGCCTGTGGCACGCCTTGCGTCGGCTCCCCAAGCCTACTGGAGAATGCCGCCCCATCACGCTGATGCACTCCCTGGTGCGCTGGTGGTCGAGGGCGCGTGCGGACATCTCCAAGGGCTGGCTCACGCAGCACCCCAGCGTCGACATTTGGGGGCTCGGCGCGGGCAGGTCGTCTTCTGATGCAGCGTTCGACCTGAACCTCGAGACCAAGGTCGCAGTCGTTTTGAACGAGCAGGTGGTCACCGTGCTCTTGGACGCCTGGAAATCCTTCGAGACGGTGATCCCTGAGGCCCTGATTCAGGAGGCACGGTTGCTGAAGATGCCGATGTCGCTGGTCTGGCCCTTGGTGGAGCTGTGCAGGCAGCCCAGGGTTCGGCCCGGTATCCAACGATGTGATCACGCTTGTGCGCTTGTCTCGGTGCTTGCAGCAGCTCCGCTGGGCTCGCAATCGAAGGCGCGACCTAGGAGGTGGCAGGATCCTGCGGCGGCAGACCAGGCTGCGGCTGAAGGCGCTGGCGCGGCGGCGCGGGCGCTCGGCGGCCCTGGCGCTCCCTAGCGCTGGCCACGGTGCGGGCGTCGCTGGCATCCCCGGCGGCGAGTTGCAGAGGCTACGGGCCGAGGCCAGCCCGTTGGCGGGGGCGCGGCCAGGCCCGTCGGGCGCGACGATATACCTGGCTACACAGCGCAGCGCCAAGTTCGATCCCGTCTACGAGGCGACGACGGCGCTCGTGGTCAGGTACTCCAGCTGGGTCTGGGAGCAGAGGACGTCGCTGGGCAAGCTTCAGCGCGCGTGGGCCTCCATCACGCAGCGGCTCGTCGACGCGCCGACGCGAGGGCAGGCGCGCGGCCTGATTGCCTCGACCACGCTCACGCTCTGGAGGATCAGCTGGCACACGTGGTCTAGCCTGGTTCTGGTCACCGACGAGGAGCAGCAGATCAACCTGCGCACCGCCTCGCCGTCGGACCTCAAGGCATACCTCGTCGAAGGGGTTAGCCGCTGGCAAGGGCGCCAGATCCTGAGCCACTTCGGCGGCGAGCCGCCTCCTGGGCCGCTGTGGCTGCGGGCCCCAAGGCTTTGCGCGGGTGGCAATGGGCGCTGCAGTCGCCGAGGGGCCTGCCGCCACTAGCCTGAGGATCCACTGGGCAGGCGCGCCGTGGACCAGGCAGGGGCAGCAGGACGCTGGGGTGGCCCCCGACGGCAGCTGCCTGGCGTGCGGCGCGGAGGCCGACACCCCCGGCCACAGGCTGTACGAGTGTGGGGCCATGCTGCGCGCCCGCCATGGGGAGGAGGAGCAGGATGTCCTCCCAGACCGGCTGCAGCAGATATGGACCACCATGCGTGACAAGGGCCTGCAGGCTGGCGGCGTGGGGGTCGCCGACTTCGGTGGGTTCGCGCACGAAGTTGGGCCCCCCGTGCCGCCGCCGCGCGCGCCGCCCGCGGCCGACGAGGAGGAAGTCAGGCCACGGGGAAACTGGAGCGGCACGGGCGCCGAGCAGCGCGGGAACATCGCGTTCACCGATGGCTCGGGCTTTGCGAGCAGCATGCCTGAGCTGAGGCGCTGCGGGCGGTCGCTGGCCCAGCTCGGCTCCAACGGGGTGCCCGTGCGAGCTGCCTGCGGGGCCCTCCGTGGCCGCCTGCAGACGGTGGGCCGCGCTGAGCGCCACGCGATCCTGCAGGCCACCAAGCTCCCGGGGCAGCAGGCGCGGCCCGTGGCCACTGACCTGTTGGCGCTGGCCAAGGAGGCTAGCAGCTGGGGCCCGAGCTGGAGCAAGCCAAGGCGGTGCATGCCACGGCGTGGAGGCACCTGCGGCAACAGCCTTGCGTGGGTTCCCGCGCACCAGGACGTCGCTGGGCACCTGGAGGCGGGTCTTCACCCAGTGCTGTACGCGGGCAACCTGTGGGCGTACTGGTTCGCCAAGCAGGGGGCCCTGCAACACACGGTGCCTCAGGTGTTCACGGATTTCCAAACCATCGAGGTGCAGTATTTCAAGCAGGTGGCGGACTACATGGGGTGGGCCATGCAGCGCTGCCTGTACATCGGGGACTGGGCCCCCGAGGTGCGCTACGTGCCCGCGGTGCCACCGCTTCCCGTGCCGACGCTGATGGCGGTGGAACACTCCGTGGCGCGTGTACAGGGCAAGCGCTGGATGCTGTGCACCGAGTGCGGGCGCCGATCCCGATCTGAGGCAGGTGCGGCGGCGCAGCAGTTCATGAGGTCGAGCTGCTTGCCGACGCCGCTGGCTCGCCTCAAGGCGGCGGCCGAGGTGGCGCACTTTGGCGCGGGGCCCCACTGGAAGTCCGACGCAGAGGTCCTGGAGGCCGAGGCGCTGCAGCAGAACGACGGTGGCCTGCCCTGCACGCTGGCTCTGAGGCCGAACCCTTGGCTGCACGAGGGTGACGGCGGCGGCGTGGCGCTGCATTTCGGGCATCGGCTGCGGCGCCCGGGGCCCACCATCTTCTGCGAGGTCTGCGTTGCGTGGATGCAGACCCGCGCGGCGAGGGGACTGCAGAAGGTGTGCCGCGGGCCGCCCGCCGACAAAGGGCACCATGCGTCAGCAACCGGACGGCGGACCCCAAGACGGGCAGGTCATTGGCGACGGGTGCGCTGGTGCTCGACGAGCGCAGTTCGGGTGACGGCAGCTCCGAGGACGGCGGCACCGACGCGGCGCTCGTGGCCGAGGGCTCGGAGGAGGCCCCGCTGGGGGACGTGCAAGTGGCGGCGGCACGTAGGGCTCCCGCACTACCGCGAGGCGGAGGCACGGAGGCCAGCCGTCTGCTCGCGGAGGCCGCGGCACGTCGCAGCGCTTGCGCGGCGCCAGCGCCGTCCTGGCAGGAGCGGCTGGAGGTGCTGCGGCAGCGCGTGGCGAGGCGCGAGGCTGGCCTGGCGTGCGGGGCCGCTGGTGGGGCTGGCCGAGATCCGAAGGCGCATGTCGTGGAGGCGTTGGCCGACACGGGGTGCACTGGAGGCGATCGCGCCAAGTCCTGGGCCGAGCGAAGGCAGGCACTGCTTGGGCGGCTTGCCGCACGTGCCGAGCTGCGCTGCGGCGGCGCCGCAGCGGCCCCCAGGGCGGCGCCGAAGGGCTTTGCCGCACGGCATCGGCGCTGCGGCATCCGCGAGGCGCGGCCGCCGCCCAGGGCGCCCCTGCCGCAGCGGCCGCCGCGGCCGATGGCCCTGTCGAGAAGGCTCGATCGCTGGGGGCGGTGGTGGATCGAGCCGTTGCTCACCGACGACGGAGCGGCTAGCGACTGGCTCGACCACTGCATCCCTTACGCCGAGGCGGTCCTCACCAGCCCAGGTGGCGGCGCTTCCACAGGGCGATGGGCAGGACGGCTCGTCAGCTGGCAGAGGATTCGTGCCGCCGCGCCTGGAGCCATGGGGAGAGGCTGCGCGGTGCCTACGCGAGGTATCGCTCGGGCCTCACGCCGAGCCAGCGGTACGTCACCGACCGTCACCGACAGCATGCGGAGGTACGAAGTGTACTGCCTCCGCACCTGGTTGGCGGCGCCTGCGGGCGTGCCGCCCGCTCTGGGCTGGGCTCGCGCTGTGCGCCGCAGGCCGCGGCCTGGGGCTGTGGTGACGCCTCGCGTGGGCCAGGGCCTCCTCGGCGCGGAGGCGGCGCGGCAGGAGCAGGACGCCGCCCAGGACCTGGGCGAGGAGCCCAGCGGCGGCGAGAGCGGCGACACGAACGAGGGCGTCGCCTGAGCGCGTCCACATCGCCGTCCTCGAGCTCGCGCTCGCCTCCCAGGAGGGCGGGGTTGGCGCGGGCTGACGCCAGGCGGCGGCGGCGGCGCGTTGCGCTGGCCGCACACCGCATCGCGGGGCTGGGTTGGGGCGCTCGTCGCGGTGGCGCCCAGACTGCGCCTGCCCTCTTCTGAGGCCCCAGCGCGGCGCTGTTTGCCAGACGGACGGCGCTCTCAGGCCACTGCTCCACTGCTCCTCCTCCTCCTCCTCCTCCTCCTCCTCCTCCTCCTCCTCCTCCTCCTCCTCCTCCTCCTCCTCCTCCTCCTCCTCCCCTCTTCCTCCTCCCTCCTCCTCCTCCTCCTCTCTCCTCCTCCTCCTCCTCCTCCTCCTCCTCCTCCTCCTCCTCCTCCTCCGCCTCCTCCTCCTCCCTCCTCCTCCTCCTCCTCCTCCTCCTCCTCCTCCTCCTCCTCCCTCCTCCTCCTCCTCCTCCTCCTCCTCCTCCTCCTCCTCCTCCTCCTCTCCTCCTCCTCCCACAAGGCGGCGGGGCCAGAAGCTTCAAAACACTTCTCCGAAGGCCTCCCGAGCCTTCTGAAAGGGCCCGCCCCCTCGCTGCCTTCCTCCTCTGAGCTCGCCGCCGATCGATTCGGGGCGCCGCCCCCGAGCCTGTGGCGACTCCGGCCCGTCCCACTGCTCGCGGCCGCGGCCGCCCCTCGACGCTGGAGCGCCGCCCCTCGTCTCGACGACCAGGGACTCCAGCTCGCGGCTGCGCCTCTCCTCCGGGCGGGTCGAGCGCGAGCGGGGGTCGATCGTCGATCGCATCGTCGCCGATCGTTCGTTCGTCGTCGTCGCCGAGCGTTCGCCAGTCGATCGTCAGTCGGCGTCGCTCGTTCGTTCCTCGTTCGTCGCAGATCGTCGCTCGTCGTCGTACGTCCTCCAGGCGAGGGGTCGTGAGGCGGGAGCCACACGGCCAGAGACTGTGGCGTGGCGTGTCGCGGCGGCGGCTCCTGCGACACGCTGTGCCCTGCGAGCTGATACAGAGTGTGGCTCCCCTGCGCGGGGCGGGGGGGGGAAAGGCTTGGGATGCTGAAGCCTGGGGACGTGGGGCATGGATAACCAAGGGCTCCCAGCTTCGCGCTTCGCGCTGCGCGAAGCGCGAAGTGCGACTAACTTCGCGCTCTCTCGCCGGCTCCCAGGGGAGAAGGGGAGGATGAGGAGGAATCGGAGCCGAACCGCGAAGCGCGAATAACTTCGCGCCCTCGAGGGCGCCCTTGCTTGGGGACTTGGGGCATGGATAACGCGTCGCGCTGAAGCGCGGTGGGCCAGAACGGACGGCACGACACCCGAAGCAAAGTTCCTGGCCGCATCCATGCCCGCCACAATTTTCACAGATATATAGATGTGTACGCGCAACACTTCTGGAGAGGAGGAGGGAGGGCAGAGGAGAGGACGCGAACCATCGCCAGTAGTCGCAGACTGCACCGTGTGAGAAGTGTGAGGCATTGCTCATCGATGGTTCCCATGCCCGCCACCTGACGGATCAATTGTCGACCGTTCGTCGTCGATCGTTCGTTCGTCGCCGATCGTTGGTTTGACGATCGTCGATCGTCTGTCCATCGTGCGTTCGTCGATGGACGTCGATCGTGTTGATAGTGTATCGTTCGTTCGTCGTCGATCGCTCGTTCGTCGACCGTCGGTCGTCCTCTAGTTTGTCGTCGTCGATCGTCCTCGCCAGTCGCTCGTCGACCGTGGTCGTCTACCGTCGTCGGTCGTCGTCGGTCGCTCTCGTCATCGATCGTGCGTTCGTCGATCGTTCGTTGATGTCGTCGTCGTCGTCGTCGTCGTCGTCGTCGTCGTCGTCGGTAGTTCGTCAGCCGTTCGTCGCCGTCGATCGCTCGCGGAGGCGCCCCGGCTGGCGGCGCGCGCGGCGCGTCGGCCGCGGGGCGGGGCCTCCTGCTCGTCGGCCCTGCTCTCGGGGCGCACGGCGGTCCTCCGAGGGGGCGGTGGCCTCGCTCTGACGCCGTGCTCCCGCCCTGCCTCCATCCCTCCCTCCTCCTCCTGCTCCCTCCTCCTCCTGCTCCCTCCTCCTGCTCATGCTCCCTCCCCCGCCTCATCGCCCTCCTCCTCCTCTTCGCTCTCCCTCCGCCTGCTCCTCCTCCTGCTCCCCCTTCCCCCTCCTCATACTCCTCCTCCTTCTCCTCCGCCGCCTCCTGCTCCCCCACCGAACGGGCGAGGGGCGTGCCGAAATGAGAACCCTGGCATGTGAGCCTCAGTTGGAATTCCCTCCGGGGTCACAAAACGTGAGAAGGGTGTGACGGAATGAGAGGCGGGAACTCATGCGAAACCCGCCACTGGGGCCTCCGATGGAGCTCCCTGTGGGACCACGGAATGTGCGAGGGGCGTGCAAAAACGAGAGGCGGTAACTCATGTGAACCGTGGCATTCGGGCCTGAGTTGGAGCCCCCTATGGGACCGCAAAGCGTGTGATGGCTGTGCCGAAACGCGATGCGGCGACTTATGTGGACCTTGGCACTTGGGCCGCAGTTGGAACTCCCCACGGGGCCACGAGGCCTGCGAGGGGTGTGCCGAAATGAAAGGCCGGAACTCATGTGAACCCTGACATTGCGGCCCTGGTTGTAGTTCTCCGTATGTGGCCACGAAGCGTGACGATGAGGAGGGAGGAGGCGGGCGAGGAGGAAGAAAGGAGGAGGGAGGAAGGAAGGAGGCGCGGTTCGCTGCTGATCCAAAACTAGGACCTAACATCACATACTGGTTGGGGAAAAGAATCCTGGGAGGATGCCTGCAACGTGGCGAGGACATCACAAACGAACAGCTAGATCCGAATGCTGAAATTATGATGACGTGTAGCAGGAAAGTAACGGGCACTGAGGAAGTCTCAGGACACACACGAGGAACAGCATGAAACCGCGCCAGAAACAGTTCGTGGCCCCATCGAGAGCGCTCCATCGGAAGCTCCAGTCGGCAAGTTTGCTGGGCCTCTGCCCTACGCTGTCTGTGGCAGTACATGCCTTTCGGCTCTTGTCGTGGTCGTGCTGGTGCAGCTGGAGACCTTGATCGATGGTCATATCGTGCGAGTGTAGTCTGCCACGCGTGTCGCGTCTTGCTGTACGCGGCTACATCGTGGGAATAGTGACGGGTCAGGACAGGCCAGCCTTAGTGCAGCACTTGGGCAATGTGTGTACGTTGTGTGTTGTATCAAAGTCTTGTCTGGTTGGCGGCTGAATGTAGCGTGTGGCTCGCCACATAAATTGAAAGTATTGGTGGAGCGGTGGAATGGACATTGAGAAACAAAACACAGGTTAGGGCATCGTATCGGGAATGCTGTCACCATCGTCTTCTCCGCCATGATCTTCTACGCGTTCGTGCTGTGATGTAGCGGCCTACCCAGCAGTAGGATTCCGCCCATGGCATGATCAGAATCTCCTCCTCCTCCTCCTCCTCCTCCTCCTCCTCTTCCTCCTCCTCCTCCCCTTCTCCTCCTCGCCCCGCATGACAGGACATTAATATCGCAACATCTCATATGTCTGGACTGGGCAATGAGAGAAAGTTCAACGTGCTGCCCACAAGTGCGCCCCAAGAAACTCCGCGCTGCGGACCGACGACCAGCCAGCTGCGCAGCCTCCGCGCCCGTTGCACGCACGCCAGGAAATCACAACAGGCGTCACTAAGCATGATTCGTCGACTCTTACTGGAGCCACTGTCAGGCCTCGGCACCCCAGACAGGGATAAGGCGGCGTGGCACCAGGAGGAGGAGCCTGAGGAGGAGGGGGCGACCCACGAGGAGCAGGAGAGCTTCGCTGACCAGAGGGCGAAGCTGAGCGCGAAGAGGATGACGGCGCACGGGAGGAAGCACGGCTACTTCGGCCAGGACAAGCTGCTGGGCAACACAGACACCACGACGCACGAGATGCAGCAGAGCTTCGCGGACCAGGACGAGGAGCTGGACACCAAGGACACCGCGTCTCACGAGGAACCGCAGAGCTTCACAGACCAGGGGAAGACGCTGGGCAACAAGGACTCCGAGACTCGCGAGGGAGAGACGCTGGGCGCCGAGGGCATCACCGCGCGCGATAAGCGGCAGAACCTGGGCAGCCAGGAAACCGCGGCCAGCAGCTTCACCGACCGGGACGAGGCGCTGGGCAGCCGGGACACCACGGCCCACGAGAAGCAGCAGAGCTGCGGCGACCCGGTCACGACGCTGGGCACGCAGGGGCGCGAAGATGACGAGGGTACCACGGCGCACGAGGTGCCGCACGGATTCCCCGATCTCGTCCACGCCTGCGTGGAGATGCGAATATCGGAGGGCTGCGTAGGCGCGGACAATGGGATGGGCGCCAGGATCGACGTGTGGCTCGAGGAGGCAGGTGCTGCTTGGACATGCTTGCGCGTCTTCGAGCGGAATGGAAATGGATGCATCGTTCGGATTGCTGCAGCACGCGGACACCTGCAGGGGGAAACCGTCAGCCCAGATGAGGAGCAGAGCGACACCGAAAGCGTGGGAACGACGAATGCCGAACAGCGAGAAGGTCAGGAGGCGGCAGAAAGCGAGACTGAAATCGGAGTGCGGGTGCCACCCTGCCAGCGCACCCCTGCGTGGGGAAAGCTGGTGCAGGCAGGGCCGAAAAAGTGGTCACATCTAGGCCGAACTAGATACAATTATGCTTCTGGGCTCTAGTCGACGCGCAATAGCCCCGAACTCGGCCCGAGAGCTCGATCGATCGATCCTTCTCCTCCTTCTCCTCCTCATCCTCCTCCTCTTCCTCCCACTCCCCACCGCTTTCCTCCTCTCACCCATCCTCCACTCATCCACTCATCGTCCTCCTCCTTCTCCTCCTCCTCCTCCTCCTCCTCCTCCTCCTGAAAAAAGATATCCTTCTCCCCTCCATCCCTCCCCCTCCCTACCTCCTCCCCCCCCTCCCTCCCTCCAATGGTCCGTCCTTCGTCCCGCCTGCCTTGCGATACTCGCGCCTGCATGTGGCCTGGCCCCTTGTCAGGATGAGTTGCTGTTCATGCCCCAATGTGCTCTCGACACCCTGCCGCGGGACGGCGCTGCCTGCCGAGCTGCCTTCGTGGCAGGCCTCGTGGCCTCGCACGGCCCCCCCGAGGCCGAGAAGACGCAGACGATACTCCGCGGCGGCATGTCCACTATTTGAGAAGGGACCGACCGTCCCGGCACTCCGATAGTCCTACCACGAAATGTTCTTAGAACCCAAAAATATTTTAAGAACAAAAACCCTGCTCTTAGAACATAAGCCCGATGTGACAAAACAGGACAGACTCCGCCAGAAATGCTCTAAGAACATCTCGTTGGAGCCTCAAAAGGTTCTCAGAGCATTGTTTGGTAGGGATATAGGCGAGCCAGGACGCTTCGCCACTCCTTGAACTATGCGAAGGGGGGCTCCTCCACTGGCGCGCTCCGCGCGCCAGGGAGGGGGGTCCAGCGCCGATCCGAGAACCCCGCGCGGACCTCCGAGTTTTCATGTTTATGTCACTTCTTGTTCCCCTAACTGTGCGAAGGGGGGGGGGTCTGGGCCCGTGGGGGCCACAGCCGGCTCGATCCCCGCCGGACCTGTCCCGAGGTGCGCTCTGGCCAGAGCTCCGGGGCGGCTCTGGCCGAGGCGACCTCGAGGCCGCCCAGCACGCCCAGAGAGGGCGAAGACCTCAGCGAGAAGCTCACACGCCTATAGAACCTCAGTCAACTCTCCCAGAGAAGAGGATCAACTGCATAAATGAAGGGGCCCTGGGACACACAAATAAATACACACAAATAACAGGATTCCCTATCTTTTCCTGTATTTTCTTGGTTTTTGTCTTCCCCCCCACTTCCCATATTTTCCCATATTTTCCTGGAAGTCGACGATTAATTTCGTCTGTGAGTTTATTTTCTCCTCCTGAATAAACATGATGTCTCGGAGGTTCGCGCGGATGTCTTGGATCGGCGCCAGACCGTCATCCATGGCGCCAGGGGGCCAAACGCCGATCCAAGGAATCCGCACGGACCTCAGGGAAACTGTTCGAGGCCTCTCCTAAATAGGGTCCGCGCAGATGGGGTCGGAGGATTGCACCGCATCGCCGATGTATCGGTGATGCATCTCCGATGCAGCGGCGATGCATCGGCAACGCTGGCGATGCATTGGCGACGTCAGCGAGGAGAGCATCGGGCTCCGCATCGAGACGCTTCGCGGATGCACCGGCGATGCGGCGCGACCCTCCGACCCCATCCACCCCGACCGCACATGGGAGGCCTGCCAGGAGCGGCCAAGAGGGGGGTGTCCAAGAGGGGGGTGGTGCAAATCATGACCAGCGGCATGTGCGCGGCCCAGCGGGGGGGGCCAGGGACGTAATGAAATAAGAAGAGGCGCCATAAAGTCTGGGGAAATACCATGGCCCCCGCCATGATATCCACCCCTCCCCAAGTCATCACCCCCCTCTTTGCAGCCCCCCAGCCTGGACCCATGTCTATGCCGATGCCTGACCTGCGATCGAACCCCACTCGATCCTCCCAACACTCCGACCTCGATCGTGCCCCGGCGGCTCCTGAGAGCCTCCGACTCCGCCTCGGCCGCGCGCCAGGCGGGCGCGGGGCAGCCCTGCCGAGGGACGGCGCAGGGGGGGGAGCTGGCTCCGGGGGGGAATCTCGAAACTGTGCCTCGGGTTATGTTGTTCTCATCGTACTTGAGGATCGCATCCCAGAAATCATTTCGAGCACCCAGAAGAGTGTCGAAAGAGCATCGAAACGGTGTCAAAAAAGTGTCGGACGAGTGTCCCCCAGGGCCCGACGCGTGAAATTCCCTCGAGCTTGGGGGCACTTCCCTGGTGCTCGAAACCCTTTCTGGTGATCATGGCTAAAGCAGGCTGGAACATCATGAGCCTTGGAGCCAACTGGGGGTCCGAGGTGGCCCAGCGCTGGTTCCGGCGCCGCCGCCACCGCCGCCGTTGCCGGGGAGGGAGGAGAGGAAGGGGAGGAGGAGGAGGAGGAGGAGGAGGAGGAGGAGGAGGAGGAGGAGGAGGAGGAGGAGTGGGAGGATGAGGAGGAGTGGGAGGAGGAGGAGGAGGAGGAGGAGGAGGAGGAGGAGACGAGCGTAGAGGGAGTCCAAGGTCGATCCACCCGCCTAGGAGCCCCTCGGCACCTGGCGCTTCTCGACGCCCGTGGTGGAGGAAGACGAGACAGCAGCGAAGGACGCAGCAGCGGTAGCAGCAGCGAACGGACGCGCCTCGGGTGCAGGCGAGCGGGGCGCACCTGCTGTTGTAGCTGGTGCACTCGTGGTCGACGCGGCCGTCGACGGGCGAAGATTCGTTTCAATCCGAGAGCCTATTTCAATCTGCACAGGGGGCGCAGCGGTCTTTATATTCGGAGGACAAGGAGCAGCAGCAGGAGGGATCGAAGCAAAGGAAGAGGGAAGGAGGGACAGCGACGGGCAGACGTGCACACTGTTTTCGGCGCACACGCTCACACCGTCCTGTCCGCTGACCCCTGTTACGGGTGGGAGGTCACTCCACAGGTCGGGACGACCAGCGTTGGTACTCTCACGCGTATCCCGAGAGGCGCAGACCCCAAACAGGCCAGCACGGGGAAACGCGGCGGCGGCACGAGCAGGAGGCGGCGCAGCACGCGGGGTGCGAGCACTGTTTGGACGCTCCCCGCAAAAGGGCCCTCCAGGCCGAAACGCTGGGCTCACACAGGCGCTAGCAAGGCTACCGAGGCTCGGGAGGCTGGGACCCACACCACCAGCAGCCACACATGGCTTCAGAGGAGGGACACCACCAGGATCAGCAACAGGGCTACCGAGGTCCAGCGATCGCTCAGAGCGGTCAGCCAAGAGCAGCTCAACGGGTCCCGCGACAAGTCCAGAGGCACAGGCATCGTCGGGGTTTCGAGCGGGTACCTCAGTACGAGTGGATAGAGGCGAGCAGCCTGCAACATAGGGGTAAGGCAAGTTCACAGACGGGGCCGCTCCAGGGCCAGAGAAGACCGCCGAACACGAAGATGACGCAGTGCCCGAAGCAGACAATGCCGAGCTCGAAGTGGCTGCAGGGAGGTCGCGCCCAGAACCAGCTTGAGACGCCAGCTCACAATTCACTCCTGAGCCCTTATTTCCATCAGAGGCGGTCGACCTCCGTGCTTGAGACACCAGCTCACTCCTTACTCCTGAGCCCTTATTTCCATCAGAGGCGGTCGACCTCCGTGCAAGAGACGTGATCTCACAACTTACTCCTGAGCCCTTATTTCCATCAGAGGCGGTCGACCTCCGAACTTGAGACAAAGGCTCACAACTTACTCCAGAGCCGTTATTTCCATCAGAGGCGGTCGACCTCCGCGATCTAACGCCAGTGGCCGCAGGGCTCGAGGAGCACCCTGCAGCAGAAACCTGGAGAAGGAAAGAGGCAGGGTCGTCGTCCCCATCTCCGTCGGCGTCATCACTATCTTCAGATTCCATTGCTGAGACAGGTAAAGAATGGTAGTGGACCGATCCGTTGGCAGTAACGGTGGGCAGGACCTCGTCTCCATCGCTGTCCACAAGGAAGTCGCGTACACGTTGCGGCGCAGCGGGTCCCATGTATTGCCTCATCTCTCTGCGTATCTCACGAAGTGCCTGGTAATGTCGATCAGCCGCCTCCTCCCATCGCTCGTGTCGAGTCAAGGCGTGGCGAGGCTCATTCAGCCACCGAAGGTATGCCACAATGTTGAGGCGCCCCTCAAGAGAAGTGTCCCAGGCAACCGTGCAAATATGACGAGCGAGTTCGTCGAGTGTGCCATCCCAACCAGAAGAATCCACCCATTCCATCGCATCTAATTTGGCGCGCACGTACGGGATGCACCACAGCCACCAGTCAGCACGGCCACTCTCGGGATCATCCAGGCGCAAGACCCAGCGCGTAGCCCTCGAGGCAATACCTTCGGCAAAGACAGCTGGTGGGGCATCCTCCGCAGAGGTAGAATGTGGATGGCCAGCAAGATTCAGAACAGGAGTTCCAGGTGACGGCGTCGACAGCGGAGGGGTGGCAGCGCTAGGGCACATCAGCTGTTCAGGAAGAGCAGGGTCCTCTCGAACAGGGAGCCCACCAGCACGAAGGCGGTCGACACGCTTGATGGTCGCTCGATATTCACGCTCGAGCCGTGCCACATCCACCTCACATGTGGTTGGGACAGTCAGCGTCGCTGCACGGACCGCGGAGAGCGCCACGGTGGCGGTCAGCGGCCACGAGAACATGGATGCCGCAGGCTGCGGCGAGGTTGCCGCGGGAACGGGCGCCCGCACGTTCACGTCCTGCCCTGAGGGCAGGGCCTCGCACTGAGCCAAAGCGCCAGCAGACAAGGGCACAGGGAACTCTGGCTGGAGAGCAGGTTGGCCGTCTTCATCCGAGCCCGTGGGAGAACCCGAAAGAGCACCACCGCGCACCGAATAACTAGGCCACACATCGTCGTCAGACGGAGTGGGTGGGACCAGGCCAGGGATAGGGGCCGCGGCGTCGGAGCTCACACTGGTGGTCGGAGACGGAGTGGGTGGGACCAGTGGGGCCGCGGCGTCGGAGCTCACACTGGTGGTGGACGAGGAAGTGAGCACATCCGACTGAGGCTGCCTGCGGCGGATCGCCTGGACATCGGGAGGAGGCTCCCACCGTTTCAACTTGTCCGAAGGTCTGGCCAGACGAGAGGTGCGGACGGCGGCCTCAACATAACCGCGTAGCTGACGAGGAGTCGACACGAGCGCACCCTGCCGAGCATGGTTGAAGACCTGGTAATAGACATAGAGAGCCTCGAAGTGGTCAGGGTGGGGATGGGCAAGGCCAAGACGCTGAGCAAGGGGACGAGGCAGGGCACGTTGTAGTCCCTTGCTGACTGCCTGGTACAGTTTAGGGCAGCGGAGATAATGCTGCTGCCGATCTGGGCCAGGGCATCCGAAACGGCAACGAAGTTTACCCCGTGGGTGGATAATCCTATAGGACGTCAGCCATCCATGCCCCCAAGTCCGTAAGGCCGCCATAGCCCAGCTTTGCGGGACCAACGCCAGAAGCTCCTGAATAGCGGGCCAGTGAATCTGGTTGAGGAAGGGGTGGTAAGCCGTGAAGAGCGGGGTTAAGTGGCGGATCAGCATAGCGTGCAGAGGTTTGTGCATACACATATTCTGACCCAGTGAGCGAGCAGCCGCACGTTGCAGCTTGGGTCTTCGCGTCGTAACCTCAGCTTCCTCACGAATAGCCGAGCGAGCAGCAACAAGCAGGGGCTCCTGAGACCTCACGTGGACCAGCTCAAGGTGTTCGACGAACGCAGGGGATTTCCAGAAAGCTGGATAAACACGAGAGCGATCCATAGAACCCAACGGGATAGCATCAAACTTCCCCTCCACGACCTCTCTGTGCCAAAGCGAAGCCGTCTGCCGCAGCAGCCGCAGGTATTTCTCATAGCCCTGGAAGGTGCGAATAGCAGCACGAAGGTGAGCAGCAGTAGCATGGGCAGCCCACGATGGGATCTGAGGTCCACCCCAGGCCGGGAGCTCCAGGACCGATTCGTTCGAAAAGAGGCCGAGGGGAGCTCGAAGAACTTGGGCGATAGCACCACGTTCAATGGGCAGAAACCATTCAGGCATAGGAAGGAATTGTGCCACATAGGCCAAACAAGGATAAACACGCGTGCGGTATAAGATACAGTTGGTACAGACCGACGCAACCCCACGTCCCAACATCCGAGAGCGAGATCGTGCCTTCATGAGCGGGCCCCTCCAGTTCATGTCGACCGTCGCATCAGGGCCCAAAATCATCCCAAGATAAAGTAACCACCCCTCAACAGCAAAGCCTGACCAGGCACCCGCGATCGAGGCCAGCTGGGCCTGGGTCATAGTTTTCAGGGTTTCGGTCATGCCGCCTACGAGAGGGACCAGGGTGCACTTGCTGATCTTAATCTTGAGGCCCGCAATCTTTTCCATGACCCCAAGGACCCGCACCAGGATACGCAGAGAGGCCAGCTCATACAGGACAGCGCCTAAATCATCGGCACAAGCACGGCATATCCCCAGCCGACGATGCTCGATGCTCCGCTCGAGGTCGGCCAGCATGGGAGAGGAGGCGAGAGCATATAAAGACCCCGAGAGACCACAGCCCTGGATGATGCCCGAGCGGATCCAGAAGATGGTCGCGTAGCGTCCCCCATCATGGACCACACCTTCCACTGCCAAATACATCCATCCCACGAAAGCAAGAACCTCGGCGGGGAGCCCAAGAGAGCCCAACAGTTGTAGCAGGAAGGCCTGCGACAAGCTCGGAAAGGCCTGCCCGTAGTCGAACCCGACGAGGACAGGGGAACGGCGCTCAGCAAGGGGATGTTGAGATGCAAGCCGAGCATGGGCATCGAGCTCAAGCACGTTATAGCAGAAATTCCGTCCTCTGATGAAGCCTCTCTGGGAAGCAGGTGCCACGGCTTGGACGACAGGCTCGAGGACCCGATTCATGACCGAGCTCAGGATCTTAACGTCGGTGTTTCGCAGCCCCAGGACCCGTATCTTATCAGGAGACCGAGAACATACCCCAGACGGCTGATCTGAGTCGTCAACACCTTTGGGGAGAAACGCCTGGAGGGTGACGCTGGCGGAGG